AAACAGATATGTAGGGGAAAGAGTTCAGTTATAAGTCATTTGCTCACTCTTTCAAAACCAATTTTAGGTTCACAGCAAAACTGAGCAGAAGGTACAGGGATTTCCCATATTCCCCCTTACCCACACGTGCACAGCCTCCCTCATTAGCAACATCTTCTACAAGTGGTACCTTCGTTACTATTGATGAACCTACATTGATCCATCAGTTAACACTGAATCAATTAATAATCAAAGTCCATGGTTTAGAGTTCACTCTTGGTATGGTTCATTCTATAAGACTGGACAGATGTACTTATAATGACATGTATCCACCATTACAGTATCATACAGAGTAGTTTCAGTGACCTGAAAGTCCTTTGTATTCTGCCTGTTCATCACTCTCCTCCACCCTAACCCCTGGCAATTCCTTCTTTCCAGTGTCTCCATGGTTTTTCCAGAGCATCCTCTAGTAGTCGCACATTACGTCGTACGTTACGTAGCCTTTCAGACTGGCTTCTTTCACTTGGTAATATGCATATAAGATTCCTTCATGTCTTCTCCTGGTTTGATAGCTCATTTCTTTCCAGGTAATTCCAAAAATATTCCATTGTCTGGCTATGCTGTAGTTTATTTATATATCTACCTACTGAGGTACATCTTGATTGCTTCCATGTTTTAGCAATTTTGAATAAAGTTGCTATAAATCTCCATATGCAGGTTTTTATATGGACATAAGTTTCAGCTCCTTTGGGTGAATACCAAGCAGCACTACTGCTGTACCCTGTGGTATGAATATGTTCAGTTTTGCCAGAAACTTTCAAACTGTCTCCCTGAGTAGCTGTACATTTCTGTGTTCTCACTGTCACTGAATGGAGTCCCTGTGGCTCCACGTCCTCACCAGCATCTAATGTTGTCTGTGTTCTGGACTTTGGCCATTCAGATACACGTGTAGTGGTTTCTCACTGCTTTAATTTGTGTCTTTCTGGTGACACGTGCTGTAAAACACCTCTTTACATGCTTATTTGCCATCTGTATATCTTAGTGAGGGGTCTGTTAAGGTTTTTGGTCTATTTTTTTAATCGGGTTTATTTTCTTATTGAATTTTAAGAGTTCTTTTATATTTTGAATAACAATTCTTTATCAGATGTGTTTTCTGCAAATATTTTTTCCAATTCTGTATTTTCTATTTTAATTCTCTTGGCATTGGTTTTCACAGAGCGGAAGTTTTCAGTTTGAATGAAGTTCAGCTTATGCATTCTTTCTTTCATGAACTGTGCTTTTGGTGCATTACCTAAAAAGTCATCACCAAACCTTAAGTCATCTAGAATTTGTCCTATGTTATCTTCTAGGAGTTGTTATAGTTACTCATTTTACATTTAAGTCTGTGATCCATTTTGCGTTCATAGGTAACTTGCATATTTTACTACAGAGAAAATGCTAACAGGTTATTTTTTTCTCCAAAACCTTTTATCTGGCAGTCTCTGCATCTGTTTACACCCCCCACCGCTCACCCTTTAGGTAGCTCATGGATTTGCCACATTGGCAAATACAGTTTATGTCTTTTAGGTCATGAGGTCTTGATCTGTGTATTAACTGTATTAATGCCACTCCACTGCTTCAGGAGTAGCTACCCAGATCACAAGGAGGGGGAGGACCCTGATGAGACCGAGGACTTGCCCTCAGGAAAGACCTTGGAATATGATGACGAAACCATGGAGCTGATTCTCCCTTCCGGTAAGTGTGTTTGTCCAAAATACCACTGAGATTATTGGAGAGGCATGTTCCCATCACTCCCCTTCCACACTGAGGAGAGAGAACCTACAGCTCACAGTGTGCGTTTGTGTTCTCCCGGATGAGGTAGATTCTGAAGGTCACCTGGTAGCTCTGTCTTAGCTGTTTTGCTTAAGTTGGATCAATATTTTCTTCACTTCCGTTCTCTCTCAATGCTTTGATCAGTCATTATTTTTCAATACATAGACCCTTTCTTTTCTGTTCCTTATCAAGTGTTTTGGCCCTATCCAGGTGTTTCTTGTTAAACTAGCCCTTCCTCTTATTCTTTGAACTGATTCCTGTTTCCATGTATTGCTCAGACTTGCGCGTGGTAGTCTGGCCTGGGTGTATCTGATTGACAGCACCCAGGATTCCTGTCTGTGTTCTGAGGGCAGGGGGAGGTTTGGAGTTTGAATTCTGGCTTCTTTGGGGTACATGTTTCTTATTGGTGGGAATTTATCCCAGGTGTGAAAAGGTGAAGAAAAGCCATGAATGTGAAAAGTACATAAAACAGTGTTTATGGTGTTACGATTAGTGGAGAAGAATGGGAGCAGCTACTGAAGACACATTTGGAAATACAGGGAACGGAATGATAATTAAACCCTAATAAACTTCATATTTACTGAGCAGTTAGCATGGTCAGGCAGCTTATTTTATCCTTACCACAAGTGTGAGTTAGATTCTGTTATCCTTACTTGACATATGAGCAAACTGAAGCTTAGACAGATTGAGGAAGTTACCCACAATCCTGGATCTAGTCAGCGAAGGCTTATCCCACTTCTCTCCACTGCCTGGGAGATTTGTAGCAATGGTGGGCGTACACACTGGCGGTGGAGACGTCTGTCATGAGGAAGTCACCCTGGGGTGCTATCACAGCTTAGGTACAGACCAGCTGTTTAACTCAGAACAACAACCTTCTAAGGCTGGGGCAGCTGTAGACAATGACAGAGGAAGGACGGGCAGGCAGAGCCTGTTTTGAAAATGTAATTCTTACAGTAATAAGAAAACTATAGGGCAGTACACTATCGTGGCCTGTACAGCACACAGCAGCAAAACAGGCCCACATCTGTCACAGAGGCCTAGGCTAGGCTTCCTCTGGTGGAAATACCAATGCAGAACCTGAGAAATTAGCTTCATAAAGTATTTTTTAAGACTTTGTTTATTCAACTTCTTTTTTAAGATGATAAAAGGACAGATCATCCATAGAATTCATTTCTGAAAGCTTGATTGACTGGCATGATTTTTACCAGATCCTTCCAAATAGACAAAAGCTCTGGAGAGAATTTAGCTTAATCATCTTTTAAACTACAGTACACCCACGACTTCCCTCATTTAGGAGCAGTAGGGCAGGGGTTCTCCGCCTCAGCACTGTGGACATTTCGGGCAGATAACCCTTTGTTGTGGAGGCTGTCCTGTGC